TTTCGATCCCCCCATTCCAAACCTGAGTACCACAGGCCATTTCCGTTACAATATCATTCAATTAATTCATTGAATCATGGGGTGAATGCGTTTGGGCGTGTTTGAGAATCTTGTAGACAAACAACTGAGCATTTTGCGTTTGGTAGTTGGAAAATTTACTGTAGAAAATGTGCAAGCTATGGGAAAATGCTTGTTGTCGTGCGGATACGAATATGCCCTCAGCATTTCAAAAATGACGATTATGAGAGGAATTTGCAATTCGAACTTTTGGGGTACTTGCCAAAAGCAAACGCTATACTTTAGTGTACATCTAGCAACTATGCTGGCCTACAAAATAAATACATTTTTGTTACTTTTCATTCTCAAGATTAAAACCTGCTGCAAAGCATTTTGTAATTATAAAGAAGATTTATTAAAAAATAATTAAATGTGACAAAGACTAAATAAGCTATATTTAATCACATTTAGCAGACAGGCAAAAATCAGCAAACGCAGTGATTTCCACTGACGTCACGCAAATCGACGCAAGATCCTACCTTGTATTCATTGTATCATGGAGTTAATCCACTCACCGATCCAGACCTCCTTGTTGCGCCAAGTCAAGTTATCCGCTTGCGTATCGTAGTAGCCGAGCACCACATAGCTGCCGTTGATCACTTGCTCGATTTGGGTCAGCGCTATACGATCGCCCTGGGAGCTGAACGCGACTATTCCCTGAAACCGGCAAAAAATGCCATTCAAACGCTAATCGCATCGCATTTTAAGTGGCACGCAATCTAATCTCTCAAACAGCCAATTTGTCCAAGAAATCGTTAGGACATGGTTTCTAGTGGGCCCATAAATGTCGTGCTTTTGTGGGCCATCAATTTTCATTAAAAAAATAATCTCCATGCTTGCCCCTCCTCCCCCCGTTTGGGGCGGCAGCCCCAATTTAATTAAAACTTCCCATTGCCTAAGCAAAGTTAATTATCACTATTTGTTTTCGGCAAATGAGAGCTCATTTGGTATTCAGCCAGCGGTTCTTTGTTGAACTTCTTCGGGCATTTAGAAAGTTCACAATAGGCCTCGGCACGCGGCAGGAAGCATAAAGTGAATTGAATACTCACCGACACACCGAGAAACTGCGTCGAATTAATCGCCGAGTAAATATTATCCGCTACATCCTTATTATTGTAGTTGAAGTCTTTTAGGCTCTTCCCGATCTGAGTCAGGCGGTCCATGGTCTTGTTGAAGGCTGGAACGCGATTAATTTTCGTCTCGGTGACAATGGGAAAATCGTCTCGACGCCTTACCGAGAGCCACCGACCAGACGGCGTCGTAGGCCAAGGGCGCCTCTTGGTACCCCTCCGGGTACCGGTTCTTGTCGATATCGTAGCCCTCCTCTCTCAGGGCGTCGTTCAGCTTTTTTCGGAAATCCAGCGACGTCATCCCTGATATCGTTTTCTCGTCCTCGTCTTGATTCCACATCAGCGCTTCAGTGGTCAGATGACCTGGAAACCCGACTTAATTAGTCCGCGAAAATATCGAGTTTTTAGCCGCAGACCTTCAGCGGCCGCCCTCATTTGCTCCACCGTGCAATCGATGTTTTCCTTGTCCAAATTCACCTCAAACCAGTTGTCCTCGTACCATCCTGACACGGAAATGTGGTCAATAGCGACAACACCCACATAAGTACAAGACTCACCGATAAAGAACCAGGTGTATGACTTCCCATAGAGGTTCTGCTTGTAGAGCTCGCAGAGAACCCGCCGAGCTGCAACCACGTAAAACAGCCCCACTATAACTCGGGCGTCCTGGCGGCGCAAGTTGCGGACGGCGTCCGAAGGATCAGACAAAAACGACTGCCTACGAACAGAAAATAAAAAATTATCAGTGTCCCTTCATCTTCAGGTCCGCACGCTGTGCTCACCGAGTGACAATTTCAATGGCGGCCTCCGAGCAGCGCGCCTCCAAGTCTTCGACAGTGGAAATGAAGACTTCCTCAGCCTGTTGCAGGATGGCGACGCGACTCCAGCCGAACTTCTTCATCAGCTTGATGCGGGTAGGATTGTGCACAGTGGCGGAGGGATGGGTGCGGAACAGTGTGGGAAACCGATTGCGGTCGGAGAGGGCGGGCGAACTCGCCCCATAGCACAACTAGAAGGAAAAAAACAATAAAGTTCGCAGCAGGACTGAAACGGGCCTTTGTCGCCTCCAGGCGGATATGATTCGATTTCGGTTTTGTTGTTCGACTGCACTGGGATGTTGGTTTACATTGGCCGATTGAATTAAGGCCCCAATTTAAGACAAAGCGCTGCTGTATGCGGGAATTCTCTGTTTTATTGCCTGGCTCGTATGAGGATTGACTAATTGTTCTAGTCTAAAGGTGCGTCCAGACCGCAGCGCAATACCGCGCCAAACATTCGCAAACGTTGCAAATTTCAAGAAATATGGCTAATTAGGACCACGATACACTTATACACGGTGTGTCGACGCGCAGGTATTGTCTGTCTTTGTCGCACGTCGTGACGTCACGTGTGTTGTAGAATCGGACGATTTATAATTGTATTGCATGGCAATTGCGGATGATTTTATTAATGTATGGTTTATTTTGCGACGACAGAATAATGAAGTTTGATTTTTCCAGTATTGAGCGTTTTAAACATTGCTGTTTTTATTAATACATATTTTCAGTGTTGGGCAAAAATCGATTTTTATTAAAAAAATAAGAAATCACTGATTTATTTAAATTAATCAAAAAAATCATGATTTTTTTATTTTTATTAAATCAATTGATAAGTCCGCTTAATTAGCTGTTTTAAAGTCATTGCAATTATTGCCGAAAAGACTCAAGCTAAGTTGAAAATTCTTGTCGCAACGGTTCGCGACTGGTTTTCACACGTTGCCCGGCGTAATCTATAAATGCCGTCGCCTCCCTTCGGTCTTATTCATTTCGTCACAAAATTTCAAGAGAGGCTAATGTTGAAAAGTGTGTAGATTTTTTGTGTAATAATAATAAGTCAGTTTGAAAAGAACGCAATGGCTGGAAGAAAAGAAGAAAGTATTGGGCAATTTTACACCAAAACCACCTCTTCTAATAAGTCAGGATGCAAAGCAACAAATGCAAACATCGATCTTCCGCCCAACTTTTTTGAGACTGGGAGTGCTTCTTCCTCATTTACATTTCCCTCGACAAGCTCCAACTCACCTCCAGAATCTCCATCATCTTACACGCAAACCACTACCGAGTCGGCTTCCAAGAGAAAGAAACGTGAAAGCCAACCCTCAATGTCCAATCCAATTTCGTTAGGCAAACTTCAGCAGGGGAAAAACATCTTGTTGACAAACAAATAGCTAAGGCCATATTTGCCACAAACTCAAGTTTTAGATGTATCGAGAACTCGGAAGTCAAGAAAGCCATTCATCTATTGAGA